AGAGAGAGAGAGAGAGAGAGAGAGAGAGAGAGAGAGAGAGAGAGAGAGAGAGAGACAGACAGAGAGAGAGAGAGAGAGATGAGCGATACAAGTTTGGTTGTTACATACCTGTGAAGCGGACTGTGCAGTCCCACGTGGAGGAAGGAGAAGGGGCCATAGCCGCGAAGTGTCACCATGGAGTAACGAAGGAGGGAGAGAGGCTGGACAGAGGGGGAGAGACCGAGAAGGGAGAGAAAGAGGCCATAGCCGAGAGGTGAAGAGAGGGCCGATCAAAAAAAAAAAAAAAAAAAAGAAAGAGAAGAAGAAGACAGCCGGGGTGAAAGGAGGAAGCCGCGTGGTAAAGAGAAGAAAGGAAGAAGGAGGGTTGGCGAGGAAGGAGAAGCCGCCAGCCATAGCTGACCGGAGGTGTTGACCGGAGAGTTGACCGGCGTTGACCGGAGTTGACCGGGAGGTGACCGGGGGTTGACAGCAGCGTTGACTGGCGTTGACCACGACCGTTGACCACGAGTTGACCAAGCTGGAGCCGGTAACATCTCGGCAAGCCTTCAGCCTGTCCCTCGCCCTATGGATGTGCACACACCCCTTGGTACTTGCTGAGTCCAGTCTGTCTATCTATTCTTTCTGCATCGAGTCTCTTCTGTCCTAGGTGATAGTACTCTGTGGATGAAGGATAGGGCCTTGTTGACCAAACCTACACGGGCTGAGTAGGGCTAAGAGCTGTGTGTGACGACTCGATTGTCCCGGAGGACACGAACCCTCCCAAGGACCGGTACTGACCGGCGGGCTGCTCGGTGTGGCACGGTAGGCCCGAAATCCGAGCTGTGGGCTGCACAACAGACTGTCTAAGTCTTGAGAGACCCGCTGATCGCGTTGTCCTGTCTGCGACGTTAAATAATTCCTGAGGAGTTCGGGGGATCTCCTTAAATGCCTCGTGATCAGCAACAGGTCTAGTAGTGATAGCCATAGTGTAGGTCTAGGCTAGAGACCATAATTGACAGGATCCCTGTCAGGATTCTGTGAGTCTTAGATTGAGTCTGTACTATCAGTCAGGGGTTAGAGTCTACGTGGTGAGGTTTGGAACCACTAATCCGGTTGTACACTTATCACCATGGCTGACACCCGGAGTGGGTTGAGCACTAGCCCCTACACTCAGGAACAGCAGGAGAAAATGGTCGCCTTAGTGAGAGAGAACAAAGAGAGGAAAGAGCTCCAGAAGCAGGCGAAGCTAAAGGCTATCGCAGAGGAGCAGGCGGCTAAGATGAGGAGATGAAGAGGGTTCAACAGGAGGAGGAAGAGAGGAGAAAGGCTGTTGAGGAAGAAGCGGCAGCAGAGGAAGAAAAAGAGAGAATGCGGATTGAAAGTAGAGAAGGGAGCAGTGGCACGAAAAAGGATACAGGCGCAGAGATGGAGAAGAGGATAAGTGAGTGGGTCGCTAATTTATCGTGAGAAGACGAGGAGGCGGAGTCTTATGTGACTCAGGATGAGAGGGATGCGCTAGCCAGTGAGCTAGAAGCAATGGAGGACCCTATGGAACAGCGAGAAAGGGAGGAGGAGCAAAAGTTGGCATGGAAATTGAGGATGAAGAGGGAAAAGAAGAGGAGGAGAGAGGAAGTCAACAAACTGACCGCAGAGGTGGCGAAGGTGCAGGACTGTAGGAAAGAAGTACAAGCCCAGGCAGATGATAAGGCCAAATGGGATAAGGTATTGGGGTACCTGGAGGTGCTGAGCACAACATGGATGGAGGAGCGCCAAGCTAGTTGGAGCCAAGAAGTAGCCTTGAGTGCCATGCGGTTGGGATTTAGAGATTTTGCGCGCGATATAGTCACCCACATTGGAGGCGAAGTCAAGCAACTGAGAGACAATGTGGGGAAGTTTTGTGAGGGCGCTATCGAGGGCGCCAAAGCGATAGCCGTTGTAGAGGGCGAGGCCAAGCTTCGCAAGGACCCAGTTAAGCTTAAATTCCCGGATGCATATGGAGGGAAGAAGGAGGAGAACTTTGACAACTGGGAGGCCAGTGTCAACAGTTATGTGTACCTACGACACATCCTGACAGAAGAGCAAGTCCTCGTAGCTTTCCAGGCCCTCAAAGACGAAGCGGCTAGTTTTGCCAGATCCTTTGGGCGCGCAGCCGGTTGTGAAAACAACCTGGTTGCTTACTCTAAAGTCACCCCCCTTTCTCAATTCTTCAAGCTCCTTAGGGAGCGATTTGCAGACCCAACGAGAGGCATTCGCGCCTCTGACAAGCTACAAATGATCCACTCGCGACAGTGGAGGAGTGCGAGAGCACTCAAGGGCACCATGGACGACTTGGTAGCCGTCCCAGACCATGGGGTCACCGAGACCCAATTGGTCCAGTTATTTTATCGTGCCATGCCAGAGGCCCTGCGTGGGCACTTCTTTGAGAAGTCTCAACAGGCCGACATCACTTACAATGCGTTGAGTAGGGAAGTGGTCCTGTATGAGTCAAAGTCCATGCCAATCACCACCTTCTGGCATAAGGACCTGGATAAGGGAAAAAGGTGGAAGGGTCGTACCATCTCGGGCCAAATCAGGGCCAAGGATCACATGATCCTTACCTTAGAGGAAGGTGGTACACATGAGGTCCCATACAGTCAGATCGAATGGGGCCTTGAGGAGGAGGACAGTAGTGTGGGACAGGGGAGGTCCTGTGCTGCTGTCGCGGTTGGAGGGAGGCCGCAAAGTAGAGGAGGAGGCCAGGGCCAAAGGGGCCAGGCCATGGGAGGCCGAGGACCGGGCACACAGGGGGTTGGGGGACAAGGGAACCGCCAAGTGGGAGGTAGGGGTCAAGGTCCCCCGCCAAATCGCCAGGGTTCTTGTCGGTCCCCACAGCGAGGAGGTAGAAGGCCACCTCAAGGAGGATGGCACCCAGGCTTGCCACAGGGCAGGCCCTGGGAGGATTTGGGCTTGGACCAGCGTATATGGCAGGAACGTGTGGACTTGGGTCAGTGCGTGTTTTGTGGTGACCCAGCCCACGTTATTAAATTTTGTCCTAAGTATAGACAGGCCCGTTGGGCTGCTCAACAGTCAAAAGGCAGCCGCCAGTAGGGGTCGCAACTGCCCCTACTTCAAGGCCATGTGGGGAAGCGAGCGCGCGCGAACAGGAAACTCCCAAACCACATGAGCCTATGGCAGAGGTTGCAGGCCCGTGTCTAGCTAGTTGTCCAGAGACTGCTTGTGTTAGCGTCTCTCTAGGCACGTCCCTCACACGTGTGGCAGAAGAGCTGAAGGAGAGAATGCCGACCTGGGCCAAAATGAAGAAAGAGAGCAAAGGACAACTAATTTTGGTAGATGTAGAAGTATTTAGAAGTAGAGTAGGGGCCCTTATAGACTCAGGGGCTACCCGTAGCTACATTAGCCGCAGGGCGCTGAAGAAGCTGAGGCTAGGATTGAAAGTCCAAAAGTTAGCAGACCCCATAGTCAGTGTCCTCGCAGACAACCGCACAATGAGTGTTGAGGACTATATAGAGCGAGTCCAGGCGTACTTTCGCCTAGAGAAGGATGGGAAGGTGGAGAAAGTTCTCCATTCCCTGACTCTCCTCGTTCAGGATGACCTTCCTTTTGACGTAGTATTAGGAATGGATTGGGGAGAGGCAGCAGGGGCCACACTCCATTTGAGAGAGCATGAGTGTAGGCTCCCTAGTCCGTCAGGCGAGGTTAAGACTGCCCGCCTGTTTCATGTGTCAGGTGTAGATAACACTCTGGCACACTGCTGTCTTAGTGCTCCCGCGTTCGTGCGACTAGTGAAAAAGGAGCAGTTAGAAGAGCACGTCTGTGTAGTCTATGTTAGACCTGTCCCTGAGGCTAAGGAAGAGGTGAGTTCCACAGATCCAACCATAGCCAAGTTGCTGGAAGAGTTTAAAGACTTGACTGAGTCGCCGACAGAAGTTGTGCCGCGACCCATCTAGCACCGGATAGAGATAGAGCCTGGCAGTAGAACTCCTAAGGGAGCAGTCTACAGGATGTCCCCTAGAGAGTTAGAGGAGTTGCGCAAGCAGTTCGACGAGCTCCTCGAGAAGGGTTCGATCAGGCCCAATTCGTCTCCTTTTGGAGCACCAGTCCTGTTTGTCCCCAAAAAGGAAGGAGAGCTTCGTATGTGTATAGACTACAAGGGTTTGAATGCGATTACTGTAAAGAATGCTGAGCCACTGCCCAGGATAGACGATCTCTTAGATCGGGTGCAGCGTTGCAAGTATTTCTCTAAGATAGATCTAAAGTCCGGATACCATCAGATAGAAGTCCATCCTGATGACCAGTATAAGACCGCGTTCCGGACTAGATATGGGCACTATGAGTTTATAGTGATGCCCTTTGGACTGACCAATGCGCCAGCGGCGTTTCAGCGATGTATGAACGATCTGTTTAGGCCGTGGCTAGACAAGTTTGTAGTAGTTTATCTAAATGATATCTTAGTTTTCAGCAAGACCCTCCAAGAGCATCAGGGTCATTTGAGGCAGGTCTTGGAGAAGCTCAGAGAGGCTAACTTCAAGATCAATGCAAAGAAGTGTGAGTGGGCCAAGACACAAGTCTTGTACTTGGGCCACGTATTAGACGAAGATGACATTAAGCCATAGGACAGCAAAATAGCGACAATTAGAGTTTGGCCGACGCCCCGCACATTGACAGAGTTGCGGTCGTTCCTAAGCCTAGCTAATTACTATAGAAAGTTCGTGAGGAACTTCTCTACTATCGCCGCTCCCTTGCGCAGGTTGCTTAAGAAAGAGGCAATCTGGCAATGAGACAAAGATTGTACGTTCGCGCTAAAGAGACCGAAGCGTGCATTGATAGAGTACCCTGTCCTCAAAGTAGCTGATCCGTCTTTGCCATTTGTCGCCACCATGGACGCGAGTCAGTATGGTATAGGTGTCGTGTTGCAACAAGACGACGACAATGGCTATAGACTCGTAGAGTTCATGTCAGCGAGGATGCCCTCAGAGAAGGTTGTTACCTCAACGTACGAGAGAGAACTCTACGCTCTCAGGCAGGCCTTAGAACATTGGAAGCACTACCTGCTTGGGAGGCACTTCAAAGTGTACTCTGACCATGAGACGCTTCATTGGTTAAAGACTCAGGCCAAGATGACACCTAAGCTAACTAGGTGGGCCGTTGAGATAGACCAGTACGACTTTGAGCTCAAGCCAGTGAAAGGCAAGTACAACGTAGTTGAGGACGCTCTGAGTAGGAGATCAGACTACTTTGGAGCCATAGTACATTATCTGGATATAGGGAGAGACCTGCAGGAGAAGGTGAAACAAGCGTATGCGCAGGACCCTATCTATAGCGACCTCCTAAAAAGAGATAGAGAGGCCCCAGAGACCGAGCCAGATTACCGCACTACAAAAGGATTACTGTTTGAGAAGACTAATGTATTTGACCGCCTGTGCGTTCCCAACAGCGAAGAGATCCGCAGTCTAATCCTAGGGGAATGCCACGACACTGAGGGACATTTCGGTTGGCAAAAGACTCTAGCCAATCTAATGCATGCGTATGCCTGGCCAGGAATGAAGAATGACTGCATAGAGTATGTTCGCGGCTGTAAAGTTTGCCAGAGGAACAAAACCACTACGCGTGCCCCTCTAGGTCTTCTCAGAACCCTGCCTATTCCTGATCAGCCGGGAGACTCAGTGTCCATAGACTTCATGGACACCCAAGTCAAGAGTAGACATGGTAAGAGCCAAGTCATGGTCATAGTTGACCGATTTAGCAAGTATGCAGTTTTCGTTCCTTTGCCTACAGAGGCACATACAGACTTAGTTATACGAAAGTTCTTTGATTTTTGGGTTAGTGAGAATGGAATCCCATTGTCGATAGTTAGCGATAGAAATAGTCGTTTCACCAGCCAGAACTGGCAAGAACTCGTGAGAGTCTATGAATCTAATTTGTTGATGTCGTCTGGCCGCCATCCAGAGACCAACGGTCAGACTGAACAGATGAACAAGATCCTCCAACAAGTTCTGCGCATGTACATTAGACCTGACCAGATCGACTGGGATGAAATGTTACCCAAGGTAGCTAGCGCGTACAATAACAACGTGCATCTGTCCACCTGTCATACTCCCAATGAGCTACACAAGTCCTTTAGACCGCGCAAACCATTTGAAGGACTGAACCGGGATCAGATTCACAGGCTACCGCCCGGTACCAGGGAGTTCGCAATACACCACGAGAAAGAACTAGCAACCGTTGTAGAGAACCTCAGGAAGGCCCAACACAGAATGATAGAACAGGCTAATAAGCACCGTCGCCCGGCGCAGTTTCAGGTAGGCGACTTAGTCTGGGTCAAGGCTAAAGAGTTTGCACCTGAGGAGAACATCTCGCAGAAGTTACTGCCTGCATATAGAGGACCGTGGCCGGTTCTAGCAGTCAAGGGCGGAGAGGATGGACCATCCTACACTATAGAGATTCCAGCACACCTCCACACATACCCTGTGTTTCATGCTTCAAAGCTGCTGCCGTGTGTCACAAGTCAACAGCTCCCCTCAAGAAGATCCATGATCCCCCCGGATATGGATGGAAGTTATGACATTGACGGCATTGTAGACGAAGATGTCTTTAGAACAGGAGGTAGAGGTCGTCCACAGAAGCAATATAAGGTCCATTTTGCTTATCAGGAACCAGAAGACGACCGCTGGATTACTAGGACAGAACTTCTAGAAACAGCTCCCGACATAGTCAGAGCCTATGATCGTGATAAGAAGGGTAAAGGTCCTGCCTTGGACTGAAATATTCTCGGAGGACCTCGAATTTAGGACCGCGGGAGTGAAACAGTTTTCACCTTTTCGCAGTAGGAGATGCAGTACTCAGGGTTCGATCCCTAGACCTCACCCTACCCATGTACAGTACCTGTGTAGACCCCGAGAGTTGAACCCGTGACCTGTGTATTCGTAAGCAGTTGCTAGGCTGTTCTAGGTCCAAGGGTAGCAGGGGTTCGATCTGTAGGTCTGTAGAGTAGAAGTCTTAGTGAGTTCCAGAAGTCTAGCTGTAGTCCTTCTAGAAGCTCAGCAAGTGGGCAAGTGGGCAAGTGGGCAAGTGGTGAGCCAAGTGGTGGACTAAACTGCAGTGCAATTGCAGTAAGACTCCGGTAGGATAGCAGTGAGTCCACAGTCAGTCAGCGGTAAGGTCCAGTCAGTCCCAGTCCGGTCCAGCAAGTACCACGAGGGACYGTGAGCACCATGGGCCGATGGCAAASGGCAGACCAACGAGTTTCAGAAGTATAAATCAAGAGGCAGCGCCCARCCATTCATTCATTCCTGCGGGAGCCATGCGGAAGCGCTGCCACAGCGACTTGTGCAAGGAGTTCTGCAGAGAGCCCGGAGCTGAAGTGGGCAAGAGAGAAGGAGTGTAGCATAGCGATAGTGTGCTGTCTCTTATACACATCTGGCAAGAGAGGAGCGTAGCATAGCGATAGGGTAGAGGCAGCCATAGCTGCCATAGCTGTAGTTTAGTGTGTGTGTGTGTATGTGTGAGTGTTCAGAGTTACGCGTGTGGGATATCCAGGGTGATCCGGTGTATGTGAACAGTGAGTTGTTTGGGCGCTGAGTCGCCATAGCCAGTTGAAAGTGAACTCGTATCTGGACCATATCTCTGAGTTTTGTGTGGGTGCATGTCACCAGTTTGCTGCGCTACTGTTTACATGCATGAAAAGTGTGAATGAGAACGAGTCTGATTGCATTTGTGCAGAAGAACATTTTTATCTTTATTTTTATTTTTATTTTTGTTTTTATTTTTATACATGTATATATATGTGACGATATATATCTGTGTATATATCGTCAAATAGAACTGCCCGGTAAACCGTAGGCAGAGAGGGAGAAGAGGACAACAAACGAGGGGCTGTGACAAACTGTTTCGTC